GTGTGTGTGTGTGTGTGTGTGTGTGTGTGTGTTGGGGCTATAAGTAAAGAAAGAATGGTAGAAACGCTACATCACGTTTCAGGAGAAATAAGAAAACTGCCTTAGCTGGAGGTAAAGCCTGGTACAGGTGGCTCATGGGAGATGACCTTGAAGGCCTGGCATGCTCAGATAAGGTCGCTGGGCTTTATCCAGTTAGCGGGAACTGCCCAGGAAGGCCTTTAGTCTCCTGGAAGAATAGCTTGGTGACCTGTCTGTCTGAGGAAGAGGGAAGGGAAGCAGCTGAGGGGTTGCTGTGTAGGCCCCACACTTGGCACTGAGGACTAAGGACCACGGAGCTGCAGAGAGGCCCCTGGCAATGTCGGGAGAGAGAACCTAGGACTGGGCAGGGAGGCCAGGGAGCGACAGAAAGGCAGGCAGCGTTACCGGGAGCTAAGCCCGGGGTCAGATCTGAGGGACGCGGAATCTCTGTGCAGCCTGGGCCAGTGCAGCGCCAGCACTCTGGCGTGGACAGGACCAGCCCTGGGTCATCGGGTGCAGTGGCCAGTGGAGCGAGAACACACACTAGTGGGTTGGAATCCTGGCTCCTCCGGCTGGGGGACCAAGGCAAGTCACTGACAGTCTCTGAACCTAGACTTGCTCATCTGCACACTGGAGGTCATCATGGGGGTTACAGGGCTGAGGCTGAGCTAGAGAAAGGGAGCGAGACATTTAGTGGTGTGCCTGGTACTCGTAAGCTGCTCAGTAGACACCAGCTTTCATTTCTGCATTGTGACTTGCAGGTCCCTGCGATCCAGGTCACTGAGCTTTAGACCTTCGTCTACTATCGGTTCCCTCTGGGTTGTAGTGTCCTGTGTGTCCACTAGAGAGAGCGACTCTTGCTGTGTAAGTGAGGAAATGCTGTGTGCGTTTGGACTAGGGCAGCCATGAGGCTGACACCACGGTGAGGGATAAGACACCAAACCCGCACCGGATACAGCCCCCTGCTGCGTAGCCTCTGCCAGCCAGCAGCCTCCCCAGTCTGACTCCCTCCCCGTGTTCCTCCTTTGTCCAGGCTTCACCAACGTCCTCAAGATCCTGACGAAGGAGAGCAGCCGGGAGGAGCTGCTGACCTTCATCCAGCACTACGGCTCCCACTATATCGCGGAGGCCCTCTACGGCTCCGAGCTCACCTGCATCATCCACTTCCCCAGCAAGAAGGTCCAGCAGCAGCTGTGGCTCCAGTACCAGAAAGGTAAGCCTGGAGCACTTCTCGGAGGCGGTGGCCAGGTGGCTTGTGGAGGCAAGTCTACTGGGGAGATAGGTGAGCTCCCTTGGAGCTGACTCCTGGCTCCGTCATGTATTACCTGTGTGTCCTTAGGAAGTCCCCGCCCTGCTCTGGGCTTCAGGTCCGCCCCGGACAGAATGAGGGGCCATGTGATGATGGCTCAGGGTCCTGTCAGTCGAGAACTTTCTGGAGCCCCAAGGGGGCGCTCTGGACTCCAGGACTCTGACCTTCTATGGGGGCTCCTTCTCTGCCACTCTCTCTCCTTGAAACAACTGCCAGGGGCAGGGTGGTGGGGAGGGCAGTGGTGTCTCCCTGACACCTTCTGGGCTGGCTTCCTGGAAGAGCCCCAGAAAAGCTCAGCTCCCTCAGGGGGTGATCACCTCATGCTTGAGGGGACAGTTTAAGTAAGCTCTCTCCCAAGGGGAAGCTTTTATCCTCAGGGAGGGTCGCTGGATCTTATTTTCCTCAGAGTCTCAGCGACTCTCAGACCAGCTGGAGATCAGTCTCTGCCACTCGCCTTGGGAAAGTCGTTTCCTTCCCACCTCAGTTTTCCCTTCCCGGGAAATGGGTACCTAGGTAGCTGTTCTTATCTACCTCCACGTTAAGGGGAAAGGGTGTGTGTAATAGCACTTTGAGAAAGATAGAAGTATCGCGTACGTGCGTTGTGTATCTTCAGGGGTCCAAGTGTTCATGTCCCCATTTCCCAGATGAGGGAACAGGTGTCAGCTACGCCGAGCCAAGTGCCCACAGACACACAGCTTGTAAGTAACAAGGCAAGGACTGCTTCCTGTTATCACTGTTACCGTTATTATTAATTAGCTTAAAAAGAAAGGCTCTCGATTGATGGGAAGGGCGAGGAGTGATGTTAAAACATCTTCTTTGTATGGCTCAACCGTAACTCATAAAACCACAGAATGTGGAGCCGGAGGGGACCTTGCAGTGCTCACCGGGCTCAGCCCTGCGGTGTCACAGCTGGGAAAGCTAAGGCCGGGAGCTAGGGGGAAGGTTGGTCACCGTCACACGGCTCCACCCCACCGGCAGGGCCGATGGAGCAGGGCACCCCACATGCCCCGTGTAGCGCTTCTCATGCCGCCCTTCGTCCCCAACTGGATGCAGCCTGGTCCACCTGCTTTTTGCCACCTCCAGGACCCCTCCCTTTTTTCCTGAGGGGCTCTCACTCCTCGTAGTGGTCTCACCCCTCCCTGCCTCCTGGGTGCAGCTGCCTGGGGCTCGGGGTGGTTTATAGGAGCAGGGGACATAATTGAGTTGTCTGGGAATAGCTCCGTTTTATGGCTGTGACAATGATGGTCTTTAAGGAAGTGCATTAAATCAATAGAAGTCTCCTCGTGCTACCTTATAAATAATGTGACACATCATTAAGCAGGGCAGTAAGCTTCAGGACTTTGAAGTAATACAATTAGGTTATGTTTATAAAAACCTTCGCTCACTGTAGCCGCTGAACTAATTTGCCTTGCGTCCTGCATTTGGGGCCTGGGACACCACTCTGATGCTAAATTCCACCCCATCTCCAACCATGGCTGCCTCTAGGCCCCGGACTTTTTCACTCCAGAAAAACCCCTTTATTTTTTTGTATAGAGGATGCATGGAATCGGTTGCAAGGAAGATGGGAAAGGGAGCAGAGGGAATGCTACAACAGCAGCTGGGGGCCCCTACAAGACTCAGAACCCTCCAGGTTGCCACGAAGTTGCTGAGTGAACTTGGTGTGGTGGCTTTCCTCCCTGGGCTTCTGGACTCGGAGATAGTCGGGAGCCCTTCTCTCCCCAGCCATCAACTGTGTGGCTTTGACATGTGCTAAGCAATGGCCCACTGGGAACCAGGTCAGGATGAATCTGGGTTTGGAAGCTCATGACTCTGGGAGCAGGGCTTGTGGGAAGAGGACAGACAGCAGAGCCGTGTTGAACTGGGGCAGACAGGACTTCATGTCCTGATGCCATTTCTTACATGCCTGCCAGGTAACCTCAGGTAAAGTAACTTGGACGTTTCCATTTCCTCGTGTGTTAAGTGAGGGCTAGTAATTCCCTTGCCTGGCTTTTGGGAGGATAAATGAGACACTATAGGTAAGATGCTTGGCTTATAATCGGTACATTAAAACCGGCCGCTTAAAATAAAACAAAAATCGTGGGCATCAGCTGAGGAGTCTCGTCCTGGACGCAGCTCCTATTTCTCCCTAGGAAGCGCCTACATCACTAGAAAGGACAAGCCTTGCAAACATCCTTTCAGCCAGAGAGGATGGGGGTGGAGAGGCTCCAGGATCCGTTGCAATCTCTGATTAGCCTAGACAGTGGTCTCTCCTTGGCTGGAAGGGCCAAAACTGGAGGAGGAGGTGGGGAGAAGAGACCAAACAGGGATGGATCATAACCACGGGCGTGTGCACAGCGCGTTACAGTTTACAGGCAGCTGTTTCCTTTGGTCTCCCCACCTGCCCCTCAAGACACAGAGGGCAAGGGTACTCACCCCTCATCTTAGAGAAGGGCAACCTGAAACTTAGAGAAGAACAGATGTTTGTCAGGGCCACACAGTTTGTGAGTGAATGAGATGGTGTTTGTATTTCAACCTGATCCCTGAAGCCAGTGCCCCCAGACGCTGGAAACCAATGTCCCAGCCTTTCCATGTTGACTAAGGATGGAGCCCCGGCCACTGTGGTGACCTGGGGCAGCCACTGGAAAGCCAAGGGAGTTGAGGTGACTGAGCCTGATTAAAATATCTCCCAGGAGAGGTTTAGTTTACTCTCACGTCTCTAAGTGCTTCTAAGTGTGCATTCCACAGAGGAAAAAAAAAAGTCATATTTATCATTCAGTGACTCTCTAGTTCAGTGATATTTCCTAAGTGCTTCCTCTCTGCAGACCTTGTGCCCGGTGATGAGGCACCGCAGTAGCCAGAGGGGAGCGCTGTCCCCACGTTGTTCATTACTAGCCTGTCTCAGCCTTCCAACATTTCATTTTTGTTATAGACTTTTCCTTGAACCCATTGATAGACAGCTGGAAAGAGGGAGGGGGCTGGCACATGGTAGGCAGCCAGTCACTGTCATATCATGGCTCCTTGCTTTCGTTTCATGTGCCAATGCTGATCAATTAGGGGTAGCTTATGTAGTCCACTGTATGAAGGTGATCGGGATCATTGGGAAGAAAGCTATGATCAATTAGCAATGTCTGCTCCAGGTACAGAAAGCAGGGGTGGTGGTCCATACCTGGTGTATTATTTTCCCTGTAATAGAGCAGAATGAAAGCTAGAGTAACAGACCCAGCTTCTGACATGGATTCCAGAGGTGCCCTGGGCGTGGCAGGGTGGTGGGCTTTTCTACCACCAAATGGGATCCTGGACATTCTACCCACCTGGAAGGGACTGGAGCACTGGACAGGTCAATTAAATGGCCCCTGGCGGAAGCCAGGAAGGGCTGGGCCTTAAAAGGCAAGTAGAAGGCCGGCCGAGTGGCTCAGTTGGTTAAGAGCTTGCTCAAGAGTGTGAGCTCTGAGCCAACAGCGGTTCGAGTCCCGGCCCGAGCTGAGCAGCCGCTGAGCTGCCAACGGTGGCAGGATGGCTCAGCTTAAAAAAAAAAAAAAAAGGCAGGTAGATTCGGGTGGAAGCTGTTCAGCCTGTCGGGTTCTTTTAACCATCACCTCTGGTGCCAGGGCGTGCCCCAAGCACCGTACGAAGCTGTACGTCTGTTGCCCCAGCTTACCACTTTCATTACATTCTACTGGTTTTGGATCCACCTATATTCTGAGAAGTTACTATTCTCCCAGTCGTGGCTCCACTTGACTCTTTGACTTGATATTTCCATGCTCTCCCTAGCTGAACTCTTGATACATGAGTCATATACCATGATTAAAACTCTGTATGAAGTTACGCTTCCTCTGGCTACCTTGGATAAAGACGTCCTCATTTGGAGATAAAGCACAGCTTTTGCTGTTAGATGGACCTTGTTTCAATTCCCAGCTCTGCCTTAAGTTATCATCAGCTGTGTGATCTTAGACAAACTGATTCACTAAATCAGTTTCCCCAGATGCAAAATCAGGATCCAACAAGTGAATAGACAGATCAATAACGGGCTCATCTAGCACTGAGCCGGGCACCTAATCACTGTCTTGATCCAACCCGTTCGTTCCACCAATAAGTTGCCACATCTACTCAGGTAACCATGTTGTGAGTGTGAGTGTGTGTGTGTGTGTGTGTGTGTGTGTGTGTGTGTGTGTGTGTAGGGGAGGTTATGGCTGCTAATTCACTCACATCCCTTGTCAGTTGACTCAGGACTAAGGACAAAAGTAGACAGGCCTGGGGTTCAGCGGCGCCTGGGTCAGTTCAGCTGCAGGGATGAGCCTGTGGAGGGCGGGCGTTGTGGAACTCTGCTTGGGGAGGTGTCAGAAGGGCTCTGTGGCCTGCACTTTTGTCATCCCTGTCATTCTCTATTCTAGGCGGATAGTGATGGATGCAGAAATTGCTAGCCTGATAGATAGGTTTCCTGAATTTTCATTTGCCTTCTCTTTCATGAAGGAAGTGACTATGGAAGGTGAAAGATGTGTGTATATGAAGAAATTGTTCATTCTAGTGAGAGAGAGAGAGAGAGAGAGAGAGAGAGAGAGAGAGAGAGAGAGAGAGAGAGAGAGAGAGAGAGAG